TTTGTTAGGTTGCAAGATCTTTGAGGCAGGATATTATTTTTTGCATATTTGTATTCTTAGAGCTAGCACAATCCATTACATAAGGCAGAAAATAAATATTTAACACATTTATGGATGCTGTGTTCTTGGTGCTATTTAAAAAATTCTATAAGAAAAATCTGAGAATGTTCTATTGGTATCATGGTTAGGGCATTTGTCTTGGGGGTGCTGTCTTTTCTCAGGAAATTGTAGTGCCAGATGTTTAACAGTTCTCTACCACTCGAGACAAGCTTACTACATAAAGGGACTGCAATTTTACAGGATGGTGATGGTTCAGGTGCCAACCTATGTCTTGGTCTCAGCTTTTCCTTCCCAAGCCCTACATAAGCACCAGAGAGGTATTTCAAAAATCTAGTCATATTCCTTGCTTAAAATCTTCCTATGTAAGAGCCTCCCCAACCCCTTTTATGTATCGATTAGGTGGCCCTACTTCTTCTGTATTTGGGCATGTCTGTATCAGAATATTCATCCCCCACACTGTCTATGTGGATTTGTGGAACATAGATTGGGACAGGCACTGACTTTCAGTTTTGTATCCCTAGAGCTGCCTTGGACACAGTAGACCCATGAATAGATAGCTTCAGATATTTATTCCTGACATTATTGTTTAGTGATATAAAATTTTTTGGCCCACCCTTTAAATAAATTAACAGGAGGACATGGGCCTGTTGCTCAGCTCTCAAGCTGGCCAGAAATACAGATTTCCATGAAAGTCAAGCAAGAAGACAGACGTTATATAATTTCAGGCATGTGCTAATTTGCATGCTTGTGGGCACCCTATTTTATGTAATTGTCCATAAAAATGTGGCATGGAATCTTCATTATTTTTAATATACATAGCACTTGCCCATCCAAATTTAAAAATTTAAACAAATCTACTTTTTTACTCCCAAATATTTAATCACTTTAAGACATTTTTGATATTACAGATTTTGTCCTTAGGTGGAGCTGCTAAAGTTAGTGTGTATATCCGTCAAATACAGTTTTTGCAAGAGTGCATGTACATTTTATATATTGCAAGAAAAGTGTAATTAATAGCTAATTAGGATAATGAAAGTAATATACACCAGATGTAGAGAAGACCTTGTGGAAAATTAGTATGAATTAGATAGCATGTGATTTGGTCAAAGCAAGCTTGTTGAGAAGAATTAAAACAGTGGACATGTGGAGGGACAATCAGTGGCCGTCTAGCTCCTACACCTAGGGAATAACTTAATCAAGTTTGCTATTGTAATACTCAGGGCTTCAAGCTGTTCGGTTTTCACAAGTCGATAACTTGGGATTTGGCCTTGATTCGCAGCATTCCTATATGGTCAAGGTTTCATGTTGAGATGATCCCTTACCAAGTAATTTAATAAAAGCATCTCTGTATAAGAATGGAAAAGTAATCAGGGATCTTGAGTACTCTGATTCAGGCTCCAAATGTTCTAAATACCATTTAATAAATAGAGGTCTACTCCTTGTTCTGTAACTAATTTTCTATTTAATGTTGATTGGTTGGCAGTAGTTCAGTTTTCTTATTCCTTCCAAATGTTCACCAGAATCTCTTATTCTAGGAAACTGAAATTTAGTAATTCCTTAGTTGGCTTATATGCCTGCATTTTGGAGCAACATACAAATTTTGTCATGTCTGCCTTATGGACACTATGTCATTTAATCATCACAACAATAAGGTATAGGTATAACCACCATAATTGTTATTATTCCAATTTTCAGATAAGATAACTAAGCCATAGACAAATTAAGAAACTTGCCCAATGTTACATAGATAATAACTGGTGGACCCTAGATTTGAACACCAGTGCTTCACCTTTAGACCACTATTGCTTTTAACACATAAATTGATAATGTTGTAAATGAAAAGAAAAAAAAATTACATCCTTTTTGTTTATAATTACACAAAGATATAGAATAGTCTTTTATGTGATGTGTATCATCTTTGTTAAATTACTTCATTGATTTTTATCAAAAGTTACTATATAAATAATATAGCAATACAGCAATAATCTGTGTGATAGGAATTTTTTTCCCTATTCCTTAAGGATTATTAATTGATGAGCTTTGAAAATAATCTATTCCTTACCTGCCTTGGGGCAGTAATGTTTAAGCCATATTGCAATCCTGAAATGTCTATAGATAAATAGAAACCTGGTCCACTGACATTACTCAGTAGGAGGTCTGTCAATTGCAGTGTCATGGATCTACCCTGAGGAACTCATCTAGCATAATATAAACCTCAGTTATGGTTTAAGTTAATATGTCTAGCCTGGGTGAAAACACTTGACTCTTTAATGGTCAAGAGGGAATTTGTTGAATCTATTTTTTAAAATGAGAAGAACCTATAGATTGAAATGGCCATATGAAAAGTAGAGTAAAAATTGAGCCTTAAATTATTAGTATGAAAGACATCACAGTCTGTGACTAATTCTTCAAATTATCTCCTGAGTATAGCAACAATTCTAATACCAAGAAAAACAAAAACTGCATAGATTTTCTCCACTAGTTTCTGTGTAGGTGGGCTATATGTGGTGATGTGAACTGCTCTTTCATATCCTGAGATCATTTCTACTTTTAATTTTTGCAGTGTCTAAAATCTTATTTTATAGATTTCTCATCGACATGTCTTTATGTAATTTCTCATTTGAATTCTGTTATAAATCCTCTTAGGTTACTTTAGTAGTAAAATCTTTTTAGCTTACTCTTTTAGAAAAGGAGAAGTTTGTTTTGTTGAGTGCCCTTTGAAAATCACATTTCTGACTGGACTGCTTGAACAGGTGCTTTCTAAGAGACACTGTTTTATATGTTATTTGATTTTCATATACACTTATCCTGCAGTATCCATGGGGGATTGGTTCCAGGATACTATTCCAGGACCCCACTTGGATACAAAAATCCAAGGATCCTCAAGTCCCTTATATAAAATTGTGCCATATTTGCACTTAACCTTTGTAAATCCTCTCATATACTTTAAATCATCTCTAAATTATTTATAATGTGTAATACAATGTAAATGTTATGTAAATACTTGTTATACTCTATTGGTTAGGGAATAATGACAAGAAAAAAATCTGTACATGTTCAGCACTGATGCAACTATCCATTATTTGCCAACTATTTTTGATCTAAGGTGGCTAAACCCACAGATGTGGAACTGATGGGTACAGAGGGCTGACTCTCTTTGTTTTCATAGACTTGAGAGTCTAGGACACTTTTACTATCTAGTGAAGTGCTTACTTAATCGAATGACAGATGCTTTCAAAGATATTTTCTTGTTGATTATTTCACTGTAAGAAAACAATTTTGAAAATATGGAATTTTTTAGTGATGCTAGCAAATAATCAAATGAAAAAATCATTTGTAAGTTGATAGAAAATATTTTTAAAAGAAAATAATGTCTGCATATACAAATAAAGGTTAAAATATAAGAATTGACAATCACTTGTAATAAACTCGAGCTGTTTCTTTGGAGACAGAAGACAATGAATTTTAAAAATCTGATTATAAAAAAAAAGCTTGTGACCACATATCAACAAGAATAGGAGTAAGAAATGCCATGTAGACATTAGTTAAGATATTAAGTGTAGAAGAATGTTATACAGGGCAGAATGGATTGTGAATGGGTTACAATTTCTGCGTAATTGGTAAATAAATTCAAGAGTTCTTTGTGAAGTACAAAAGCACAATAAACTTAAAAAAAAAATAACCAGTTGCAGTGGGTCAAGCCTGTAATCCCAGCACTTTGGGAGGCCGATGGGGGCGGATCACTTGAGGTCAGGAATTTGAGACCAGCCTGACCAACCTGGTGAAAACTGGTCTTTACTAAAAATACAAAAATTAGCTGGGTGTGGTTGTGCATGTCTGTAATTCCAGCTACTCGGATGACTGAAGTGGGAGGATCATTTGAACCCAGGAGAGGGAGATTGTAGTGAGCTGAGATCAAGCCACTGCCCTCAAGCCTGGGTGACAGAGCAAGACTCTGACTCAAAACCGAAAAAAAAAAAAAAAAACAAAAAACTTTAACAACTAATAAGAAAATCAGTAAAGTGACCAGTGTATACAATTAGATGTACAAAACAAATACTTTGCCTATATGCCATTCAATATCTGTTAGAAAATATGATAGAAGAGTTCCATAAAGAAAGAAAAGGGCTGGGTATGGTGGCTCACACCTGTAATCCCAGCTCTTTGGGAGGCCAAGACTGGAGAAGCCCTTGGGCCCAGGAGTTCAAGACCAGTCTGGAAACATTGCAAGACCCTGCCTCTATAAATATGAAAAAATTGGCTGGGCATGGTGGTGCACACCTGTAGTCCTAGCTACTCTGAAGCTGAAGAAGAAGGATCGCTTGAGCCCAGGAGTTCAGAACTGTGGTGAGCTATACTTCATTCCAGTCTGCTGATAGAGGGAGATCCCATCTCTTAAAAAAAAAAAAAAAAAAAAAAAAAAGAAGAAAAGAAAAAAAAAAGAAAAGGAAAGGAAAAAAAAGGGAATAACTAAAAAGGATGTTTTATAATATCTGGACTCAAATGAATCAAATTTAATTGAAATGTTATTGAGAGATAGAAAACATATAGGGTAATGTTAAATGGGATAAAAAGCACTTTGAAATGATTTATAAAAAGTTTATCATGAAAAATGCGTATAATACCAAGTTATCTTTTAAATGCATAGAAAATAGCACAGAAGAAAATACTCCCAAGTATAGACCTTTATTGGATAACTATTATTGGATGGTATTATTTTTCATTTTTATTCTTTTTGTGTTTTTCATAAGAAATGTAAATGATTTTGTGTGATATGAAGAAATATACATCTTCATTTTTTTAACAGTTTAGATGAAAGATAAGTGTTTGCTTTGTCTTCCATGTACAGTGTTTGGCCTTATTCAGGAAAGAAGTTTTATATTTTTTTAATCTACATGCTTGTTTTTGTTATTAATTCATATGGTTGTTATTTTCCTTAGAAAGATGTGCGGGACATCCTCACCCCAATTCAGATTGAAGCTGCTTACCACCTTGGTCCTCACGTCATCAGTAAACGAAGCACAGAGGAATTCCCACCACTTCAGCCAATTCTTCAGCAGAAGAAAGAAAAAGACATAATTAAAAAAACAGTAGGAATATTTTCCTTTATTCAAATTATTATGTGGCATTTAACTAAATTTTTAAAATATGGCATCATCCTGAAGAAGTGAACTATATGTCAGAATTTTTTTTAATTTTATGAATTTTTAAAAACATAAAAATAGATTTATGATGTGTCTTATTTTTCATTTCTTTAAATTGTTTATATTCCCTTTAGGATATTGAACTGAACATTTTAAAATATGCATTTAATCACAACAGTAGATTATCATATAAAATGCTACTGTTCTATTTTTGATGCCTTGCCAGTGAAGAGAGGTATTACTAGAGAGAAATCATAATGGGAGAAGGTTGTATTTATAAGTTAGTTATTCAGTGTCATCATGTGTCCTCAGTTTATCTTCCTCTTCTCATTCTCTGTCTCCCTTGCTTTCATCCTACTCACAGATTCACTCAAGTCTTCATAATCAAATTTCCTTGCTTAGTTTTATCCATTTACAGACACCTGTGTTTATGTTAAATACAATAATTTCTTTTAAAAAATCCATTATATGCTTTTCAGCCACATCCCGGGATCAGTTGCATTTGAGATGGATCCTACATTCTAACCAGTGAACCGTTTTCTAAATTATCCCAAAATATTTAAGTTTCACTGACAATGTATTTATTCTCAGGAGTCCTGTTGTTCAGACCTTTACTGTCTGCCAACACAAAGACATAGTGTTTGTCCAAAAACAGGATGTGTCTGGGCATTGTAAAAAGCCTTCATTAAAATGTTCACTAATGACACACAGAATGTAAAAGATGAAAGGGACATTTAAAGGTCTAGTTCATATCCTGTCCAGACAAAATTGCCCCATAGTCACTTTAAGATAATTGAGCTTACAATCACTATTAGTCTAGTCTAGAATACAGGATCAAATGAAGATAACTGAAGAGCATATTTTTCCCTATACCCTCATATGAAAATATTTACGGAAGTCAGGGGCTGTTTTACTGTTCTGCTAAACTTCAGTCTTCAACATCAGCTCTTTGTAAATGTCTCTAATAGTGAAAATCAATATTGCAAGTACACAAGCCAAAACCTTAGCAATTTGTAGTTATATTAATTTATATTTTGATTCTTAGAACAACCTGCTTTACCAATAGAAATGAGAGAAAAAAATCATATTTATTTAGAGAGATATTTACACTTCTCCCCCAACTGTAGGCACGCTATTTGACAGTACTCTAGTCACTTCACACTTAATGAGCCTGGCTCCTTCTGACTTTCTAGATCTCTCTTTGCTTTCTGCGTCTGTCTCTCTTTACCTATTCCCATTATCTTCCCTTTTATCTCTCTCCATTTTTTCCTTTTGTCCAGCTTATGCCTTGGGTCTTCCTAGGTCCTTTGTAGTATTTATTGATCTTATTAAAAAGTTCAGAGTTAGTTAAATTCTGGAACCCTTATTTAATTTTGTTCAATGTTTCCTCTACGTAAAATTTCTAAGTATCTCCATGTAGCTAATTTCAGTGAATATAAAATCACTGTCACAACATCTGCCAAAATTAAGTGCCATTACTTACGTGTAATAAATGGGATCAAACTGCAGCACCAGAAAATTGAGAGGAACCCAATGAAAAAAAAATCTTGGTAGCTAATAGGCTCCTTCAATGCCTTTAACTTTTTTTCCAAATCTATTTCACTTATAAAATTTGGGCTTTAAATTTTACCTATTTAGAACTTAGCTCTTTTAGCCCTAAAAGTAATTGTCATTTGAACCCTACTAATTCTTACATTGAACTTTTTAAAAGAGATAAAATAAAGAGTTGTCAATTTGATGTATCAATTTTATTTTTCTCATGCATCACAGATGTCATCTTCTTTAAAATATATATATAAATATACTTGCTGATTAAATCAAAATAAAAAACATTGTCATTTTATTTCCAGATAAGCTTTGCAAGGTTTTGTGCCCATGAAAATTGTTCTGCTGATTTACAGGTTTCTGCAAAGATTGGGTTTTTGAAGTAAGTATATGTGGTATAGTCTCTGTTATTCATCAAGGAGGGGTAATGAGTGTGTGCATTTGCATTCCCAAAAGAAAAGGAATAAGAGCTAACCCTTGAAAATTAACAGCATTTAAAGAATTAGCAACACAATGGTTAGTTTTTTTATTGCCCAGAAAATTGGTTATATCACTCAGACTGATATATAATCCAAGTATGACAAATTTAAAAAGGAATAAACCATCTTGCTCTTCTAAATTCATAGAAGTGGAAACAGAGAAAAAGGAAATAGATGTGATGTGCTTTAGAATAGCATCCAGCACAAAGCAAAGACTGGATAATTGTTGGTTGCTGTCATTATTTTATGATGGCAAATAAACCACTGCAATTTTGTATCATATCTGGATCCCCTATATTCAAATCATTTTGCATATCAAAGAGGTGATGTGAAAACAAGGACCAGAGAGAGAGACAGAATGAACACTTCAGGTTGAGGATTGATCATAGAAGGCAAGTGAAAGAGGGGAAGCAGATGCATCAGTGACAGGGCAGGAAAACAGAGAACTATTTTTGGGAGATTGGGATATAAATGGAGCAGCTTTAATCTGGGGCATGTTGAATTTGGAGGGACTTTTATATGTGGCATTCCGCTTGAAAATCTAGTTCAGGATTATGTTTGGAAGTTCCTCTATCCATTAGTGACTTGTGAGATGGCCCAAGGGATAGAAATGTGAATTTTATAGAGGAAACAATTATGGATCAAATCTTAGGGAACAGTTTTATTCAAGGAGATTAAAAATGGGGAGTCCCTGTAGGAGACTGAGAAGGCATCTTCAAGGAATTAAAGAGAACCAAGTCCCTGGTGAAATAGCCAATGGAGAATATAAAAAGGGAGACAATATTGTAAAATTTGTAAAAAGATCAGATAGCATAATGTCTAAAGAAAGGTCATGGAAGTCAGCAGTTATTAATAAAATGTGACTGGTGGCAAAAAAATGGGCATCACTGGCAAATGCCAAGATAGAACTCTTAGTGCGGAAGTAGCCAAATGAGCCTAAACCAGTGTCTCTTGAGTTTCACACCCACCCACATATCAAATTCCCTATTAGACATGTCCTTTTGGGTGCCCTATAGTTTCAATCTGCCCAGGCACTATCCAGGAATGACATGGCTGTTAGAAAGTTACCAAAGCCAGAAACCTAGGGCTCAATCTGCATTCTTTTCTCTTTCTTGTTCCTGATATCCAGAACTATTAAGTTCTACAATGCTACCACCTAGATGTCTTTCTTATCCATCATGCTTTGATATCTCTACAGCACTATTACTCCAAACTAGGCACTCACTATACTACCTAGGTCACTAAGTTCTCCTGCTTTCTAGGATACTGGCCTTTGATTTTGCATTAACATACACATGTGATAACAGTGCTTCAGTGGCTCATTTTAGACTTAAAATCTAAACTCCTGGATGGTATTTTTCACCAATTCCCCAGGGAGTTTTTCCATCAATGTCTGAATACTTACGGTTGTTTGGCTGTGCCATGCTCTCCTGAACCTCTGTATCTTCTCACTTCTTCTGCCTATCTACCTGATTCACTTTTATTTATCTTTTAAATCTCAGCTGTTTCCTAGGGGAAGCCCCCTGGTGTTCAGCTACTTAAACTTAAGTTCTGTTGTGCCCTTGGTCCTATGGCACTCTGCTCACAATTATTGAGAGTCTGTCTCCACACTGTCCTGGAAGCTGCTGCAAAGCAGGGTCCTGTCCTTTCATCTTTGTGCTCCCAATGCCTAACAGTGCCTAAAGTGCTGCAGGTGACTGGAGAGGTTTGCTGAGAATGGAACAGGATCCCAAAAGGGATCAGATTCATAGGTAGAGGAATTAGCCTTAGTTAAGAATCTCTTTATCTGAAGCTAACAAGCTATGAAAGGGTGCTTGACATTAAGAAATTTCAGTGTGGAAGGAAGGGAAATACAGAGAACTCATGGATGGCTAGGATAAAAAGCAAGTTTATATATGGTAATTGAAGGCATTGAAGATATGTTTGGGAACTTGAATGGAAAAAAAATCAAAATAGCTATTATGATAAAGGACAGGGAGTCAACTAGGAATAAGTAAAAAAGTTGACAAATAGGGTTCAGTACCCTACTGTGGTAGGATCACATACGGCCGAGAATCAATTATTTTTACTTAGGTAATGTCAGTTTAGCCTGAGAGTCCATAGTGCAGGGCCAAAAAGCCTTGACCTATTTGATTGATGATTGGACTTAATACTTAAGTTACCCAGATTAACTGCTCAGATAATCCAAAAACAGTGACTACTGACTACTTTGTATCCCAGCATGTAGGGCGGTGCCTTTGTTGATTTCTTAGTTGAATAACTTATAATCTTCCCATTTCTGTATTTATTTTCTTCCTAAACTGCCTAATTGTCTTGGTGTTTTTACCCTCATGGGTCTTTGATAAGAAGACGAGTTGTGTGGGGGAAATCTTTTCTAAGCTGCAAGTAAAGGAGTGTTTTCATTTTCTTAAATCAGACGCTTGTGCTATCACCTTTCATTGCAGTCTCTGGCCTACGAGAAAATGAGACATTGACGTTTATAAGAAAATATTACTAACTATGCTTCTTTCCTGAAGAATGAAAATTCATCTTAATGAATTCTTTTTCTTTGTTTCATGTTTTTTCACAACAAAATACCTACTTTGCACTTTTAATTGAGAGCGATAATATTTCTTGTAGCCTATCAAACCCATTATGATTTTACATGGCATAATGATTTTAAATGGAGTGTAAGGCTGTGTTTCTTGAGGTGTTGTCTCTAAGCCACCTTTATGAGAATCACCTGGATGCTTGAAAGAAATGCAGGTTCCTAGGCCCCAGACCATCCAAGTCAGAACTAAAGGGGACCAGGCCACAGATCTTCACAATTAATAGAGCTCCAAGTTCTTATCACACTGAAACCTAAGAACCAATGTGGTGGTGGTGAAGAGCTTCCAGATTTGAAGTCAAGCTGACCTGGTTCAAATCCCATATCTACTGTATTACTAGTGACCTTTTCAGAGAAGACTTTTAACCTCTCTAGACCTCTTTCCTCATTGCTAAGTGGATAAAAATAGTACCAACTTTTTAAGGTTGTCTTAAAGGGTAATAATGCAGACCAAGTGCCTAGTGCAAAGCCTGATTTACACGAAGGCTCAATAAAAGTCATTACTATTTTTGATATATTGTGGTTGGAATTTCTATAGATAAGATTTTTTAGTTTGGCGATAAAATGAAACATTGCCAATTCTATACATAATTCTGCATATAAACTTTATATCCTGAAAATATAGCTGGCTGTGACTGACTCAGTAGTTGCAGTCTTACAAGGTTTGAAGTGGCATGAATGTCCATATAAGGTAGTAGGCACCATGTTTTTTTAATCAACTAAGAAAGTTACAGGCTATGTATTTCTGTTAGATAAATGATAATTTATTTGAGGAACTTTCAGATGAGAGTGCTTCTAATTAATTTCTTAGACTCACAGTGAAAGGTTCTGACAAAGTGCTTTGTGTTCTAGTAAATTATACTCTATCAGACAAAAATATGTCTCTCCCACAGAGGTGTCCTCTCCCCTTTCTCAGAAACAGTAGGAGAATTGTGACCATATGTTCCATGCATTCTCCCAGCTATAACTCTGCTGGCACTAATGGTATTTATGCGCCCCAGAGCTATAAACCTGTTTTAGGTAAATGTATTTACTCAGTAAAGAACATGAGTTTCTGAAGACCACAATAATAAACTGTCAATAGTACACTAAGCAGTGCTTATCCACTCTCTCTCATCTCTTCATTAAGTTGAGGCTTCCTCCTGTATGTCTAAATGCTTAGGACAATAAACTACATTTAAAAGGACTTCCAGTGCAAAGTAAAGATGAACCAACATGACTTCAAGATTGCAAATATAATAGAAGGTATTAGCTACCACATAGGAAGTTTAAAATCAAATCCTCGATACAGATTACTCATGTAAATGACACCGCAATACATTTCTGCACCTCAGTTGAGCTTCCAGAATGAGTGATGTAAGCTTTCCCTGAACAATTACTTCTGTCTCTGTTAGGAATACTTCTAATTGCAAGTTTTAGAGTAATTAAATAATAGTGACTTCGACAATAAAGATATTATTTTGCATAATAAGCAGTCTTAAGGAAGGATGTTCACAGGTTTGGTGAACAGCTATCAAAGACTGGACATTGATGGTTATCTTTCCAGCTCTCTCAGCTTTTCCTCATGATCACAGTACAGCTGGGCAGCATCAAGCAGGAGAGAAGGGAAAAGAGCAAAAGTGCTTTGTCCCCTTTAAGTTGCCCTTCCAGGAAGGGCAGTGCCTCATTAGATGTATTCTGATTAACCAGACCTGTGTTACCTGTTTATCCCTGATTCCGTCATGGTTGAAGGAGAATGGAGTCATCATGATCACAGTAAATTGATCCTGATTCAATTATTTTGTTATTGTGATACATTCTCTGGAGTTGAACCTAGAGGTCTGTCTTCTGAAATATTAAGGGAATGCTGCCTGTCACCTGCATAATCCAGGGCTCTGTTGGCAGCTAAGAAGGGAAATCACTGTTGGCTAGACAATGAGCAATGAGCAACATCTGCCACTATACTGTTAATCCCCCAAAGAGCTAGTCTGATGAAATTGTCCATTTTTAAAATGGAAATAGTAGGAATATTTGCCTCACTGACCGCATAAAGTTGTGGGAGAATGAATTATATGCTTTATAAACTAAGACATGTTAATTACTGGTTCAATCTTTCAATTTAGGTTTTTCTGCTCTTCTCCCCTTAACCTCAGTGAGTTTGCCTGTCTTTAATAAAATATTCCTAAATGTCAGGTAATCTGTCTATTCCAATGGGCAAGAATTTTTCAGTGTTGTCTTTTTCCCTGAAGTCAGTAGTAAAGGAAAAAAAGATAAAAATTTTACTTAGGCCTGTAGGCTACTTGCTGCAGGTTACTCTTTTGTCAAATAAATGAGTCG